AAGGAAGGAAGGAAGGAAGGAAGGAAGGAAGGAAGGAAGGAAGGAAGGAAGGAAGGAAGGAAGGAAGGGGTTTGCTTAATGTAAATATTAAAGTCCATTTCACATGATGATTCAATGGATGAGAGAAATTCTGGGAGTTTAGAGGAACCCTGCAGAGAAGAAAACAGAGACATGGAAGACTGATGATTTACACTTAGCATTTGAAAGACATATAAACAAATCCTAGTTAAGTCCCTCTGATAAGTGAATCACTGCCACCAGTTTTCAAATGTCAAATGATCCTTATGTTGAAAATGATTGCTGAGTTGGCAGTTCTTTTCTAAATCTCTCTTTTCAGTTGCTCCATATCTCACCTTTGGAAGTGAAATTTTTCCATTAGCCTTGGCTTGGAAATGAAAAATTGTGCACTTTGAAAACTCAATTTCAAACAATGCTACCCAGCATAAAGTAGACTCTGTTCTTCTGAAAAATGTGGGGCTGCCTGACATTTTCTAGCAAAGCTGCTGGCTTTATAATATTCAGTCTTACGATCCTGACAGGTTGGGGAAAATGTGCAAGGAGAAATACTTCACAGATATTAGGGCTGAGAAAAAATTGCTCTCTATTTGGCAAAAGTTGATTTTCATTTTTTTATGTCGAGAAATAAAGGAATTACTGGTGACACAGGTACTCTTTAAGAGTTTTGAAACCGTTCTTTCAGCTACAAATCACTATCTGATTTTATTAAAGGGATTATTGGGACGCATTTTACAGCTCCTGTATAGGTACAACAATACAGGTCTTGTATTCTGCATGAGCAGAATTCCCATGAAGCTGCAGCTCATCTGTGCAGCTCACCTGGTCACCTGTGCTGGGGTTGTGGCACTGGAGCAGGGCAAGGCAAACACTCAGGGTGTGGTGGGGACAGGAGCACAGCCCAATCAGAATTAATTGCAGGCCTTGTGGTGATCAGCGCTCCAGAGAATGTGCTCTCCATGATAAGAGAGCTCCAAATGGAATTTTAAAGAATAAGGATTTTTTAAAGCCCCACGAATATTTGGATAAAGGAGAGGAAGCTCTCTGGTTCCATGTCTCTGCAGTGGGAAGGGCTGGTTGCAGATGGTGGCTGCACAGATTGAGTTTTCCTGCAAACACAGCTCCAGGTCAGCAGCTCCAGGACTGGGCCTACCAGGAGAGCAGAACATCTGTAACAGAGCAGGGACCCTGGAGCAGGGATTGTCCCTCTGTGCCCTGCAGGCTCACTGAGCTGGGGAAGGGGAGGGTGAGCAGTCACTCCCTGCTCTGCTGAACCCCATCAAAGCATTTCCAGCTAATGGCTGGATAAAAACAGGAGGGCTGAGAAACACTAAATGCTGATGGAGGTCCACTTTTAAAAATCAGGAATCATTGCTCTCACAGCAGAGGGGTGTATTTTAATTATATTTTATACAAATCCCTTTTATAAATGGTTAAGGAGAAGTGAACAACCAGCTCCCACCTAGGCAGCAACCTCCCCGTGGCACAGATCCATTTCATTTCTGCAAAGTGCTTAAGTACATGCTTAACTTTAACCACCTGAACTGTCCCACTGGAGCCACAGGGATGACTCATGAACTAAAGTTAGGCCCCTGCTTGCACATCCTGCTGACTGTGGGCTTCTGCAGCATCTACTGCCAGATGTTTGGGAGAGGAAATGAAAGAAACTCTGTAGTGGACAGTTAAGGGAGTAATTAACTAACAGAGAAAACTTTGTATGGCTTCCAAATATCCAAAAAATGATCTAATGTGACAGTTGGTATTTTGGTAGTCCAGACATAGGTTTAAACAATTTTTAGTCCTATTGACGT